ACATAATATATAGAGATATATTTAATAACCCTATTAAAGTATGAAGGACGACGTCTGAATTTTGGCCGTAAGAGCTGCAAGACTCCAGGGGCAACCCATTTTATCATTTCCATGGTCACACGTTGCCTTTTTATAACCTCTGCACTAAATTCAGTCTTCACATATTGATGTAGTTTTCAGACTGCTGTTTAGTATTTTTAAAGTACTCTATATTTTAAATATTTTGATTTTCCTTTTAGGTAGGCCTTTACTTAATTTTTTTTAACTATTTATAAAAATAGACAAAATTTATTAGAATCATTTTGGACACACTACTTCCTTGACCTAATTTAGAAGTACAAAAGGAAAAACAGCATGAAACTCCCCAATCTTAGAACCCTGGATAAGAGAATCTACTCTACTCCTAAGCACAAAGCCAAGAATTTAAATTGCACAAATATGAAGAATTAAAACCAACTTCTAGAAGGCAATTATTCATCAGCAAACAAAGTATTATTTGACTGCTCTGAATGCAGATTATTTGCACATTATCTTCTTTCCCATGTCTACACCAGAAGCAAGATGTGACTTAAATACACTGCTGCTATTAGCTTTCAGGTTTTCATATCAAAAAAACCATTTAATTTTACTTTTGAAAGCAAAATAGGAAAATATGACCTGCAGCTTGGCATTTTGAGTTTGTAGAGTTGTGTTTTGTTCCTGCAGAGACACAGTCTGTCTCTGAAGTGCAAGAATCTGGGCCTGCAGGTTGCTGTTCTGTGTCTCGAGTTGCTTTAACTGTGTCTTCAGCGCTTGCTTCTCCGCCTGCAGCGTCGCGTTCTGTGGGCATGGAAAACCAACAGAAAAGCTGAGCTCACAGCTGTCTACCTCAAGGAAGAGAAATTGTTTCTACAAGCCACACAAAGCAGCATGACTGTGCAGAGATTTACAGGGATGAACAAAACTGAATCACCATCTAGAACAAAGTAACACCCAGTGGGGTTAGCACTGCAGGTTAAGATTGAAAAAACAGGTAATTAATATTGTACCTATGAAAAACAGTAGAGAAATCTCTGTGACTCAAAGAAATAAGGATTCTGTAAGAGGAATTTATCTATGGATTCAAAGGGCAAATTCATGTTTCCATATTTTCTTTTAAATGCTTGTCAAGTGCTTTACAGCATCCCTCAGAGCAGAATCCTGCTGCTACATAAACTGTGTTTAACCCAGATTCTGCTTGGCATGTAAACTAGGTGATAAATTGCACACTTTCAAAGCACTCTCATTGGTATTACTGGAACAGCCCACAACAAATAACTGCAGTCAGAATCAGATTATAAAAACATCTTACATTCCTTTCCACTTCGATTAATCTATCTTTAACTTTCAATAATTCTCTAGTAGTTTCCTGATTTTCCTTCTCCCACTTATTGACAGATTGATTTTCTTCTCCACTTCTTGGAGGAGAGTTCTGGACCATCCTTTCCTCTTCTTGTCTTTGCTTGAGAGCTTCGTAGTTCTTTTTCACCTGGAATTATTTAGGACAACTTAGATGAGGTCTAGAATTTTCCATTTTATACCTCCTGATGTCTCACCTCACCATGCACTTCTCAAACAACAAAAAGTGCTGTGTTACTGCATCTGTACATTTGCCTTTTGTACATGTTGGGGAGATGATGTAAAATTTATTTATAGATATGTATAGCTTAAACCTAACAGAAGAGCTCTTTTTTCTATACCTTATTTCAGTGCTTTCAACTGTATCCCCCAATTTTTATAATAAAATCCTACAAGCAAGGCAACTGCATTTCTTTTTTTAACCAATCTATCCAGACAGCTCAAGACAGGTCAGAAAACCTAACTGAAAATGACATCCCAAATCAACTCAACTCCAGATTATTTATCCACCTGACATTTTCAAAGACCAATGAACAAACTCAACAACTTTTCATGTGATTTCAATACAGTCTTAAGAGCAGTCAGTGACACACCTTTGTTCTGCTTTCCATTATGCAGACACTGCCCACCTTCTGCTGTCTTACACGAGAGGTAAAGTGTAGAAACAATCACAGCTCATGTAAGAGACATTTAATCTTACAGAAAAATGCAATTTTCCTTACTGTTTTCAGTTCCTGACGGAGCTGCTGGTTTAAATTTGTTGATTCTTCTAAACGAGCCTCCAAAGCAGCAATTTTTTCTTCTTTTATTTCGAGAGACTTCTTGAGTGTGGATTCTAATTTTGACTCCAAAAGCTTGTACCTACTGATCAATAACAAAAAACGGTCTGTTTTTCAAAAGCTTTCTGGAGGTATTTAAATTTTAAAATGTTCTGAACAGGAGCCTATCAGCTACATTCCAAAACACTTGAATGCTGCCTGTAGACAAAAGCACGAAGACACCTCAGTATTCACAGCAACTTCTAGGTCTGAAACAAACAGAAGTAGGTAATCAAAAACATTTCTGAATCCTTCTTTCTTTTAAAACATACTGGACATAGAAAAAGCCATGTTCAGGCACACCAGGAGGGTGCTGGCATTCTCTGGATCGTCAGCCTGTATGTGATGGCTGCACTCTCCTGGCTCCACTCCAGCGAATCCAGCAGGGACCTGAACTCAATTAGAATGTGAAGTATTTGGAGAGCAAGATTTTCATCAGTTCCCATTTCCTGCCAGCTCACAAAGGGGAGAACAGGGAAGGAGATGGAGCACGGCACTTTGCAGGTGCACACTCATTTGATGCATGAATGTGCAAATTGCTCACTCAGCCCAGCTGCTGATATTTTAAGACCGTCACCACCCGTGATGGGGAAAGCTTCCATTTTTTACCACATCTACAACATTGTAGGGCACTTAAAACCCCCAAACAACCTATTTGGGGGAGAAGTGGTCAGATTTAGACTGGATCAATTTAGCACAATGTCTCCTTGACAGAAAATCCTGAAAACCACATTCGTTAATCACTTTTCAGCAGTTCAGCCACTGTACAGAGGGCTCAGAATCTGGAAAACATCCCACTCCTCCCCACAGTCGGATAAAATAAACCAAACCACTAATATCCCCTTTTTAATCTTGGCTGCTGAAGGATCTATCAGTTTGGTGAACAGAACAGACTACAAGAGACTCCTGAATGGACAACAGCATTAGATCCAGTCAGGAACTAGAGCAGAAGACCAATGGGAAGAGAATTAATAAGTAGAAAGCTGTCCAGTAGCATCATGCAGTAGGATGAGAATCCTAAACTTTGAGACATGACAAGTAATTCCAAGGGACTTATGGAACAGTAGGCAGCCTATGGCTAGCAGAGTATATAGTATTTCACCTTCTTGAGCTGAAGCACAGATTTGGCTACAAATAAGAATTTCTGTTACTGAAAGTTACACAATTATGTAGAAAATAAAGAAGGGAAAAGACTAATAGCAGAGATCCAGCATCCAGGTTCCTTTTGAAAATCTAACAGTGAAAGATGGCATATATTTTCTAATATAACTGAGACTTCAGTATTTCTGATTCAGAGTCAAAATACACAGATCTGTTTGTCCAAGGACAACAGACATTTGGAAGGCAAGAGAACATGGAAAACACATCAAAGTTAACTCACCACCCATGGTCAGCTTAGACCCCAATATGAACACTCCAAAGTGCTACCAAGAACATTCATTAAAAAAACCACAAACAGCTCTTTCCAATCAGGAGGAGAAAAAAAAATGTACATTTTTTATGTCCATCATCAGAATGAGAGAGTAAGACAAAAAACTACACTGAGAAGTAATTTTGTCCAAAATGAACACAGCTTTCTATGGGCCTTATGAAAGAATTGCCAGTTTCACCCACATAATAATACCAGGAAAGCAATCCTGGTACCTTTTGGATGCATGAAAATGTTGTGAATAATGGAAAGGCAGGATACAGGCATAGCAAAATTTCAAACCAACCAACATTTTCACTTTGAAAACAAATATTACTTCTTCACAATCCTCCAGATCTACATGAAGTTTGAAAAGCAGCTCAAACCAGTAGCACAGCCCAACCACTCCTAATCTGGAATGTGATTCAGAAAAGTGATGCTCAATTTGGACTTCTTCATCTAAGCAGTTTAAGCTTCACCTTGGATGAAGGATTTGTGGGTGTTTTCAGGGTATATTCACCTAAGGGCACACCAAACACATACCACCTGCTGTATGTGACACAGAAATGCCTAAATTGTACTAGGTAAAGTTCTGAGGACTTTTCCTGAACTCATCTGTGAGCTGAGAAATGCAGGTGAAAGACACCAGCAGAAAACAAGAGGTGGTAACAGATTTACCCACAGGACACTGGCACCACCTCAGTACCAGAGCACTGGCAGTAGGAAAAGGAAACTGGAGAAAAAAAGCCACATTATTTGGTTTTCTTTTGGAAGAAAGGTCCCAAATGAACCTACATGCTCACGACAATCAGCTGTAGTAACAGATCATGACAGCAGCTCAACTGGACAGCATGGTGAAGTAAAGCTTGGCTAAAAGCCCACACTACTCTGCTTTTCTCCTGCCACAAATTCTCCCTAAATCCCTGCAGGATAAGACAGCAGACGAAAATACAGCAGAGGAAACACATGTCAGGGTAGCAGCTGCTTTCTAATGGCAGGTGTGGCAGTGACAGAGCCACTACAAAGTTTTGGAGACACTCAAGTACTCGACACCTCCCAGCCAGGCTAAGTGGGAATGCAGCTTCCTTTTGGTAGAAG